GGGGTGTCTGAATGAAACGTAATTGGACACCTAACCCTTAACTGTACCCCACAAAACTATAATAAAAATACTGATTAATTAAAAAAAAAAAAAAAAAAAAGAAATGTTAGCACCACCACCATCAGGACACAGAACAGTCTCACCACACCAAAAGTTTCCTTCTGATGTCCCCTCATATTCACACCTCTCCCTCCTCTAGTCTTGCAACCACCTATTTGACCCCCACTACTATGGCTTTTTCTTTACAAGAATGTCATATACATAGAATTATAGCTTTTGAACCTGGCTTCTTTCACTCAGCATAAACCCTTGAAGATTCATGCAAGGTGTTACATATACCAATAGTTCCTTCTTTTTTATTACTGAACAGTATTCCACAGTAAGGATATATTGCTGTTTAACCATTCACTTATTTAAGACTATTTTGTTGCTTTTAGTTTTAAGCTATTATAAATAAAGCTGCCATGAACACTCAATACAGTTTTTATGTGAATAAAAGCTTTCCTTAGGAAAATACCCAGGAGTGAGTTTGCTGGATCACATGAGAAAAGTATATTCAGCTTTGTAAGAAACTGCCAAGCTGTTTTCCAGAGTGGTGGTGCCACTCTGCCTTCTCAGTGGCAGCAAGTGAATGTCCCAGTGGCTCAGCATTTTGCCAGTACTTGGAATCACCAGGACTTTTTCCTTTAGTCACTCTAATAGGTACGTAGTGATATATCATCATGGCTTTAAACTTGTTAACCATTTTAATGGGCATCTTTTCAAATACAATACACACTGCTTCACTCTCTTAATCAGACAATGCTGAACATAGATTTTTCTGACTCAAAAATCATCCCTATGAAATAAACAATCTCCTACCCTCAGAGATTACTGTAATGTCCACGGTTGTCTTCCTCTTTCCAAAATAGCCCCAGAATTATGTCTGCTTTTTATAGCTTTTAAAATCTTCTCTCTTGTCATTTCTTGCTATTAATGGTATCCAGCCTCTGGCAGACTTTCCTCTTCATTCTCTTCTCAAGCTTAGAAAATAGATAACTAATCTTGTTAGAATTACCTCTAAAAAAAGGCAGTATGTGAGTGAGAAAGCTTGAAGGATTCTTCAGTGAGGAAACTGAAAGCTTTTTGCCCTCATCACTGTACTTAAACTTTCTGACATTCACTCAGTTGCTGAGAAATGTCTAGTAGCTCTATTTCTTAGGCATCCTTAAGGATACCAGCTAAAAGACCACCAGGTAATTGATTGAGCAATTACATTATCAATCTGTGCGATTAACACGAAATCACAATTCTTAGTCAGGAATTAAAAGTTTATCTAAAGCAAAATATAGATAAAATTATCCTGTGTACAGAAATCTAAATGGAAGAGTCTACCTTAAATGTTAAGTTTAAGTATAGTTTCCAAATACTTATACTCTGGTCAAAATTCTGAGCACCTACTAGGTATGCCAAACATTCAAGTGGATGCAAAGACAAATGTAAAGGAATTGTACAATTAGAAAGAATTCAACAGTTCTTTCAAAACATACAGTGGTCATCTGTATACACATTGCTTCTAATTACAGTGATATTTACAATGTCTCCTTGAAGGTCTCTTGATGAGCTGTGTGTAGCTGTGCTGCCAAAAAGCAAATAAGTAAAGCTCATCCTGTCTGCTAAGTATCTTTTCCATCTCTGAACAAGATAAACTACAACACTCTCACGATCCCTATGCAGGCGGCCTGCCTGGGAGACATGGATGGCACCGCCTTCCGGCTCCGGGATCGCCGGCTCTGATTCTTGGCCTGCGAGCGGCTGACTCTTCCTCTCCCCGACTCCTGCGAACCGGTCACGCTCGCCGGCCAATCCAGGCTCTTCCGGGCGCCTCCACCCACAGCCTCGAAACCTGCTCACCAATGGCAGGCGGATCTTGGGTGGGACTTCCGCTATCATTTTAGGCTTAACTACCACCATCTCAACGCAGGCTGCAGGGGCAATCACCAAGAGCGAGAATTTCACAAACTTTGAGCTCGAGCGAACACAAAAGAAGGACAAGATGGAAGGCAGAGTGGCAAGAGCCGGAAGACCAAACCAGCCCCCAAAACCGTGTTTAGAAAAAACAAGGAAAAAGCAGGCAATCAGAACCCCAAGTCCAGGCTGACTTCTGTGCTTATCTCTGCAGGCACGGCTCGGTCCTGAGGTTCTCTCTGGCCCAGTTTCAGCCTTGGAGCCCTCTGCCAAGGGGACAGCAGAAGGCCGATAATGTGGAGCTCTGATTACCCACCCATCAGGACACCGCTGAAGGTCACTGCACTCTCATGTGCACCAGAAGAACAAATCCTGCAAGTTCACGCCGGAATTGCTCGGCCCCTGGTTTTGAACTACTTTCGCATCAGATCTACAAAACCGGACTACTTTAGAGACTTTTCCACAGACTTGTGAGTCAGAGAACTGACAAAACCCTGTCAAATCTTACAGTTCCTTAAAATCCAACACAAACAGCCATAGACGGTTTCTCTCAACAACTTGTTTTAAATGGAACACGGACAGGGCCCCGCGTCCCGAGGAGGCTGGTGCAAAGGCCCTTACACAAGTTTCACTGTCACTTGGCCAACGACATTGGTGAAGGCGGCAGCAGCACTAGTATGTCCAGCAGCCTCTCCCCACTGGCCCAGCGACCCCCCGCTATTACTCTGTATCCCACCTGCTTCCAAGATAAACCTGTTGCTGGGAAAGAACGGGCGAAATGAGAAAAATGGATATTTTGTTGAAGATGACGGTGAGCGACGTGCCGGACTCAAGAAGGAAGATCTATATCGAGGATACTGGAGATGATGACACTGCCACCTCCGAGTTCCGGGCCGGAGTTCTCTACCAACCCTCCAGTGTCCCCACGCGTCTGTGGACCCCGAGCAGGCCCACCGAGGAGGGTCGGCGGAAACGGGCTTGAGTAGTGCGCGGCCTGGACGGCCGGCCATCCATCTTAGGCCCGGCCCGGGAGACCTCGCCGCCCCCCTGCGCCGCCACGGCCCGGCGACATTCTGCGCCCCGGGAAGGGGGCTCGGGATGCGGTGCGGTCCCGATCCCGGACCCCCGGGGTCCCCCGGACTCCCCTGGACTTCCCGCCCCCGGCCCGGCCTCACCTTGACGTGGAAGCGGATGAGCGCCAGGCGGATGCAGTGGGCCATGCAGACCGGCGGCAGGAACCAGACCTTGGGCGGCGGGGTGCCCTTGTTCTGGACATGGCTGACGATCTGCTGCGCCGTCTGGCGCTCGTTGCCCTGACGCTTGACCCACTCGTGCAGCCGGGCCTTCTCGAGCGCGCCGTTGAAGAAGACGAAGAGCTCGATGTTGCCTCCGAAGCAGGCCTTGGCTAGCGCCGCCAGGTAGCCGAGCATGTGGTTCCACTGGCCGCCGCTGACCCAGTCGGTGTAGAAGCCGCCGTAGAGGCGGTGCAGGCAGTTGTCGGCGTCCACCAGCAGG